AGAGATGTATGGTCCTTATAGTTTCCTCCATCTCAACTGAACTTAATTAGGGTTGTTTGGATGTAAGTTTTCACTATGAATTTAAAAACAAGAAACAAAAAAAATAATCATTTGATTGAAGTTAGATGATTAGCTTCAGTCACAATTTCAAAAAACCCCTGTGGATGAGGTTTTTATTGTCGAAAAATGGTTAAACCAGAATTGAGGATGTATATTAATGTATAGTGGAGGAGGGGTACCAATATTTGAATAATGGACCTATTCCAGAATCCTGTCAACTTTAAAATTATACAAAATTACATAAATGGTCCCTGTGGTTTCCCAGAGTTGCATGTTTCGTCCCTGTGGATGGTCGGTGTTTATTGTAATCCCCCTTACATCTCCATGGTCTCATGCTTTTTTCTAATTGTATTATTGGGTCACAAACTATATACATACATCCTACCTAATAAATGAAAATATTTTTGTCACTTGTCATCTTCTCTTTTATTTTGACAAATATCATTTTCTAGGATTTTTAAAATTGTTATTTTCCACTTGTCATTTTTTGGGGATTTCAATTTTCTTAAAATAAATTTCCAAAAAATTCTAATAGGTTATATATATGCATGTAAGATTATCATTCTATTAATTTGATAATAAATTCTCCTAAATGCTCCAAACGATTTGATTTCTTTCATAAATGCTCCAAAAGATTACATTTTGTTATGGAAAAACGTTATTTTATAAAATATTTAATGTTTATATATTAATATTAAATTTTTATTTTTAATAAACTCGTGTAATACACGGGTCTCACACCTAATAGATTATAGATAATCATTCTAACAGTTGCAACCCTTCTAACCATTGCAACCTTTCATTTTGGTGGTTGCAATAACTAACTTAACTACCCTAATAACTACGAAGCTATCCCAAAATAATTGCCATAACTCCCTAACCAATAACTACCTTTCATAATTACCAAATTAACCTAGGTCTAGCTTACATTTCAACACTCTTAGTGTTTTTCTTTAAAGCTGATTAAATTGACCCCAAAAATCATAATTAAAAATGACATCATCCAAGCTTTCCCTAATATGGGCTTCACAATTGACATTTTTCAATTTAATTTCTCACACTCTTGACTTCCAATGTGATATCTTGAAAGGGGGCCCTGGTACAATGGAGCAAATGGAGACATAGCATGTGATGGGTACCATAAATACAAGGTACATCCCATAATCCACAATCATTGATCTTTTGATTGCGTAAGAGTTCAATTCAGAACCATTTAGTACATTTCAAGTCAAAATAGTAGAATAATAGAAATTTGAGTTGACTGGAGCCTACTACAGCTGATTGCATTCAAATGTTGCAGGAAGACATTCAACTTATGGCAGACACTGGTCTGGAAGCATATAGATTCTCCATCTCTTGGTCAAGACTCATCCCAAGTATGTTGACTTGATGGTCTAAATGAAAAAAAAAAAAAAAAAAAAAATCAGTAACTCTACTTGTCTTGCTTATGAACATTTTTTTTTTTTGCAGATGGAAGAGGACCTGTCAATGTAAAGGGCTTAGAATACTACAACGATTTCATCAACAGGCTTATCGCCCATGGTTAATTAGATATACTATTGTCAATGCTTTTCCATCAATTTTTCTAACTAACTATAAAAACAATGCATAAAGAGGTTGAACAACTTGTTCTGATTATATATATATATGCAGGAATAGAGCCACATGTTACATTACATCATATAGATCTACCACAGATACTTGAAGATGAATATGGAGGATGGATTAGTAGAAAAGCTGTGTACATTTCTAAAATGGAACAAGTTGTGCTTGCATGTGTTATAATTAAGAAAGTGCATATATATATATATATATATATATATATATATATATATATATATATATATATATATATATATATATATATGCATGAATGATATATATGTCTGTAAACATTGCAGGAAAGACTTCGTTGCATATGCTGATGTTTGCTTTAGAGAATTTGGTGATAGGGTTCTACACTGGACTACTTTTAACGAAGGCAATATATTTAGTTTAGGTGGCTATGATTTTGGTGGCTCACCTCCTGGACATTGTTCTTCTCCATATGGGGTTAACTGTAGCAAAGGTGACTCTACTTCTGAGCCATACCTTGTAACTCACCATTTGCTGTTAGCACATGCATCAGCTGTAAGACTCTATCGCCAAAAATACAAGGTAATTAAAGACATTGTTGCTATATGCTTTTACCATTTTCTTCAAGAAACACTCTCTACAATGACATTTGATGGAGTTAAAGAAAGAAACATTGACTACTTGTTAGCATATATATATTGGTGGTGATGCAGGTGATGCAGCATGGTTTTGTTGGAATAAATGTGTATGCCTTTTGGTTTGAACCAGATACAAACACAACTGAAGATATCAAAGCTGCTGAAAGAATTCAGGACTTCTATGTGGGTTGGTGAGTCATCATCAGAAGAGCTACATAAATTTTGTTGCCATATTGTTGTGGGTGTGATCAAACTTTTACTTTAATCTTTTGTTTCATGGTTCCTACTCCAGGTTTATGAATCCTTTGGTGAATGGGGACTACCCAGAAATAGTGAAGAAGAATGCAGGAAACCGAATTCCAAGTTTTACTAAACTTGAATCAAAGAGAATCAAGGGTTCATTTGACTTCTTTGGCATAAACCACTATCAAACATTATATGTGAAGGACAATCCTAGTAGTCTTAAGACGGATCCTAGGGATATTGTTGCAGACATGGCAGTATCGTTTACATGTACGTATTGACTTCATGGTTAATCACTACTAAACTGGTAGATAGATTTAATCTGATACTGACATGATGTGTGCATATCTGCAGTTGGTACTGGAAGAGAAATCCCGCCAACTGATCAGGTTTGAATTTTTTATCATTTGTTATTATTATTGTTGTGATCAACCCCCTGCATGCACAACTCAAAAACAAGACAGACTAGTGCAGCTCTTCTGCTGCGTAATGTAACTGGGAAGGGAACAAAAAAAGATACAAATACTTCATAACCATAACATCTTATTATCTGAGAAAACCTTCAAGAAAACACACACAGGAAAATACGACTCCTACCTAGTTAAATAGCTAAACTGACCAACAAAACAGGAAAAGATAACAACCCATTCCTGGGTTTATGCCACCTGCAGCCACGTGACTTTGACTCTATCCTAAAAGAAAACAATAAGTGACTAAACTACCCTTCATACATTCGGATTACTCCAACAATTACTTCCCTTTTATCCTCCTATGGTCCTTAGTTTCTTGTGTTTTTTATATATTTCTTATCTTGGTTTCAGGTGGCTCCATTGGGTCTCCAAAAGCTTCTAAACTATGTGAAGGAAAAATATGGAAATCCTCCTGTCTATATCCATGAAAATGGTATATACATTAAAGCAGTTCACTTTATGTGATATAGCCTTAATGGATTGCTTCTCATAAGGAGTTTAAAAGGGTGTCACTCACAGGCGAACCTATGTGGTCCCCCATGTATGCACATGTTTTTCCTGAGCCTATGTGTGTGTGTATATATATATATATATATATATATATATATATATATATATATATATATATATATATATATATATATATATACACACACGTTAGTATTTTGTCGTGTATAAAATAAGAATAAATGTTTATTACTATAGTGCATGCATCCTCCAGAATATGACTATGATATGGGCATATCCTGTTTTTGACAGGAAAAGAACAACCACGTAATGGAACATTGATGGACACCCCAAGGGTAGAGTACTTGCATGCGTATATCGGTGCTTTGTTGGATGCAATAGGGTACTTATATATTATGCATGAAGCATACATACCCATGACTTAATTCTTATAATATACTATCTTTTCATTTTCAGAGCTATACAAAGATAAATGCCCATTTATTATTGCAATGACATGGTAATTACAGGAATGGATCAAACACGAAGGGATATTTTGTCTGGTCCTTCTTGGATCTCTTTGAACTGTCGGGTGGCTATACTTCGGGTTATGGTCTGTACTATGTTGACATGGATGACAAGGAGCTGACAAGATATCCTAAGCTCTCTGCGCACTGGTATGCCAATTTTTTGAAAGGAAAGAATATCAGTGCATGTGGCATTATTCCCAAATTGAAAGTAGAAGAGTCTTTCTCTTCTTCACGTTAGATTCGATCATTCTTTATTTTCATAACCACATACTTATAAGTTATTATTGATACCAAGTTGACGATACTTGGCTAGATTTCTGCAGTTGAGTACATAATTTGTTTTGTGTGTACATGAATCTGTATGGAGAAAAATGTTGGTTTAAATCATACTAGAGTGTTTAAAGTTTTGATAGTGTCTCTCAAAAGAGGTTCAGTTGATGGGGTAGAGTTTTTAGAGACTGGTATGTTGCATAGTAATATGATGTTTTGTGAGAATAGTAACACAAGATTATCTATTTTTGTGGTAATAGATATTTATTTAACGAAGTTGTGCAAGTGTTATTTATATTGAAATTGAGGTGTTATATCACTGCTAGAAAACCGGTGCAATAGCTACAGCACAATCCGTAGCTATTCCGTAGCTATAAGTAAATAGCTACGGAATTGCTACGGAAAAATGTCTGTAGCATAATGGCCCGTGGGAAAATTATAGCTACGGAATCGCTACGAAATAGCTACGGAATTTTCCGTAGCTAACGTAGCTACGGAATAGCTACAGAAATAAATAGCTACGGATTTCCTACAGAATAGCTACGGAAATGGATGGCTATGGAATAACTACGGATCCAAATGGCTACGGAATAGCTACGAAATTGCTACGGCTTACATTACCTACGGATTTTCCGTAGGTAATCCGTAGGTAATTACTTTTAATTTAAAATAAAAAAAAAAACAGCAAAATTTAATAAAAAATCCAGTTTTTTTTTTGTTCAAAATATTGAAAAAACTCATTACATTAAACTAATAATAATATTGAAATTCAACCACAAAACAAATAACATTACAATAAACCTAATAAACCTAAAAAAGTATCAAATACAAATACATATTACTAATTAACATTGTCTAATAATACATTAAATGTGTCTAATAATACACATTAAAAGTGTCAACTACAAATGTTTATTTAAATGCTTACATACATAAATTTGAGAATTATATGGTGGATTGCTTGGCAAATTACCGAGTAAGCTGAATCGATAAAGGGCGACAAATGTTCTTCAATTTGAGTTTTGAATCATATTGTTCCTGTTTCAACACACCATAATCAATTATCACAAAAAATACAAATATAGCAATGTACTTTCATTTATTTTTTTAATATAGCCATAATTAGGAACGTTTTCGAAAGTACAACATTATAAGTAAGACAAAATGAAAGTAAGATGTTATAATAAACATGTATATCTTACATTTAACTAGCTCAAAAATAAAAACACATTTCCTTCTAATAATCGACTCCTTCATCATGTTGTTGAATCACTACAATAATTGACTCATTCATCATTTTGTCATCACAAGAAGTTGGCTACCAATACAATGATCTATAATCCATAATAAAGATAGAAATTAAAGCAAATATATGCATGCACCAAGATTTAATCATTTAAAAACCATTCACCACTCTAATATGCCTTTCATGGCTATCAAAATCTTTGAAAGATGCTACATCTAGTTCCAAAAATAACATATTTGTGTCAATTATTTATTAGTAGTAAAATAAAAGGAAAGTATGTTTAAAGAAATATGAACTTACAATGCAATACATGGTCCATTAACTGTTCAAATCATAACCTCAAAATTCATCCCCAACTCCAAATCAGCCACCATTAAGCCCAAAATTTCAATTATCGAAAATTGAAAATCCAAAACTGAAGTGAAACCCGTAAAATAATGGCAAAATCAATGCAATCTGATAAAAATTGGAACAAAAACTAACGGAAATATGAAAAAAAATTGTCTTTTTCACCTGCAAATCGATCTTGGAGAGCTACAATGGTGGTCTACTTGCTTCACCTGCAAATCGAGCCTGCAAAGCAAACTAACCTAACATGTATCACATTTTCAACAAAGCTAAGAAATTAACCAAATATTTTATCAAATTCAACCAAACTTTAACCTAAACCCTTAAATTCGACCTCACATTCAACAAAACATATCAACATTATCAATGAATAAAGCATCTAAATTGTATACATGAAGTAATTTCAAAAAAAAAACTAGGGTTTTACCTTTTTGGGGAAGAATCGAGCAAAGAGGCCAAGAGATAAGAGGGCAGATGCGTCGGAGAAGAAGGCGAGTTGGGCGGCGACGGCAACGTCGACGGAGAAGAGGGCCGCTGACGAACGGGAGTTGTGTTCATGTGGTCGCCTTCAATGGGGTTTTTCTTTTCTGTTCGTCGAATGGGGAATGTTTCGTCCGAGAGTATACA